GTTGACCGATACACACAGTGTTAATTCTTCATAATATATATTAATCCCGTTAATAAACTTTTATAAGGAAGGAACAACAAAATTCATTGTTTGATGAAGGATGATAGATTGAGCGATTTCACTCTATATGACGTGCTCTAAATCTATTCACCAAATTTGTTTTGGTTAAAAAGGGGAATACAGTATATATTTATTTGACACACAACTCAAAATTGTCATGATTCACGTTATATTCAATGATTTTTTTTAAAAAAAATTTTGTTATATTTTCTCATTACAGTCTTTTATGTAGTAACCATTTTACGTACACACACACACATTAATACACATAATTTATTCAACTTCTTTATGATTTTAATACAATTATCTAGTCCATTTCTGTATTGTATTAGAATTCTGCATTTTATTAGGAGGTTCTTTGCAATATATGAAATCTTTATTTTGATTTTATTATTATTATTATTATTATTATTGGTGGTGGTAACGGTAACCAGCATGAATCACTATGTGTATTTTGTAGCATTTTCTTTTGTTTCATATGTAACCTTTTTAATTCCAACTGTCAGGGTTTTTTTGTTTTTTAAAAATTTACAATAATCATTCAATTTGAAAGGAGTTCAATAAAACAAGTAACTTATTGAAAATGGAACAATTGTTTTTATTTCTATGTACAACTCGAACACTAAAAAAAAAATTTTTTTTCACTTACTGAATTGAATTGTTCATGAATTGGTTGTCATACTCTTTGATTGAATAATCTCAGTTTCCTGTATGTTATAATACTTGGAAATATTTCATTGTTAGCCTCATAACGCTCAATACATTTAGAAGAATTCTAGTAGAGTTTTATTTACTGAGTTGAATAGTTTGATCGTATTGTTTTTATTGTCCTACCAGACAAACCATTTACAACAGCAGCAATCCAAACTTCAAAAACACGTGAGTTATGCGGAAATATTTTCAAAAGTGATAAGTTGATGACAAGGTAACTCGACCACGTAGTCTCACATTTGAACCTTGCTCCAGATATTTTGGTTCGGACAACTGGGTAATATCCCTGGTCATGACGAAATGGCGGCTCGAATAAACGATATAGGACGTGGTTAGACGCTGCCACTAATTGTACTACCATTATTTATTTTGATTCAATTTTTCCTTAAACTTAGCTTTAACCATGTGATCGTTTATAATTAAGCGGCAGATTGGATTTGTTTCATTATACCTATTAACTGACGATTACCATATTTTGCGGAAATTCTCTAGCCTTTGTTCTATGAGAGTTTCAACGTTATCCTAATAGAACATGTGTGTTCGCATAGGTTAGTGTGGCTGAAGATATGTTATGATGTTTGCCACACTCAACTGGTATTCACGCAAACTATTGAATTGGTTACTTTGTTCGATTCACTATTTTTCACAGTTGTGGCAGTTTATTTCGTAACTTGTGGTGTATACTACGTATGTTTGCTGATATAAGTGGTATGTAGCACCAATCGGGACTGGAATGTCTGCGAGCAAAAGGTCGAAAAGATTGAAATGAAAAGAGAAGGGAACTGAAAGCAATCAAGTTAACAGGAATGAAAGAACAATGAAGCTTGTAAGAGACAACTCAAAGAGGATGTGCTTAATGTGTGATTTTCACGTTTTGCTAAACTACAGTTTGATTTTGCATCAAACAATAAATTGATTGTTTCCCCCCCCCCTGAGTTCTCGTTCTCTATACTATTATAATTATTATTTTATTGTGCTATTAAGTCCTTCAATCTACATATGGTTTACTCGAACTAGTATAATTTCTTGAACAGTTCCTATTTCCTGAATTCATCGGAAATCCGCCTTTAATTCCCGTGCAAGAGTGCACAACGAAGTAGCTGGATGAAATCGTTTTTTAAACTATGAATCTGAGTCACTATTACTAATTTTAAGTCATATCGATTAAATTATAAAGTCGTAAGCTATGGCTATATTATAGGTCTTAACTAATCCGTTTTGCTCAGAATTTTTGGAGATTAATTTGATTTATAGGTTTGGTTGGTTACAGATCAAACAGCTGTTCCATGCCCCACAGTTTCGATTGTTATTCCAACTGAGACCAGTATGTGAGAAATATTACGTGTAACATGTTTACTTGAAAAACCTAAAGGAATTCTATATGAATGCACTTAGTAGATTGCGGAGGAAAAGTTGATACGTAATCAAAATATATTTCTCTGTCGTCGTGTAAAATAAAATGAACATAATTTATCGGCGTTCATTCATAAGATCCTGAGTATTGAGAAATTTTTTACATAATAAGTAGTCCTGTTAATACAAGTCCAGCTTGACCGTTAAAACTGGACTGTCAGCTTCAAAGACCTCCAAAGTTGATTTCTCAAGCCTTACCGTTCTCTTCAACTTATATATGATCTTTTCGACCTTGCTAAAGGTTGGGGGGGGGTCTTGGGCTAATTTCTCGTTGAGGTTATGTGTGAGAATGCTGGGTAACTTGAGACTAGCCGAACTGTTCTTCAAAATGTTCCACCCATCTGTTTATTCTCTTGAGCTGAAAATCCATAATGGTTCCAACTGGTAAGAATGCTTGAACCAATTTTCACGCTAGTTAGCACGTCATATAGGCACGCCCACATACTTGATGGGACTGTCGCCTCTTGTGTCTTAATTAGGAATATTGTCACTGAGCTCTTGTCACCTCAGTCGGTCATGATCTAATGTCACTGATTACTTACTTACTTACGCCTGTTACTCCCAATGGAGCATAGGCCGCTGACCAGCATTCTCCAACCCACTCTGTCCTGGGCCTTCTTTTCTAGTTCCATCCAATTCTTGTTCATTTTTCTCATGTCTATCTCCATTTCTCGGCGTAATGTGTTCTTTGGTCTTCCTTTTTTCCTTTCGCCTTGAGGATTCCATGTGAGGGCTTGTCTTGTGACGCAGTTGGGTGCTTTCCTCAATGTGTGTCCTATCCACTTCAGTTATATTACACCTTGTTCAATAGCATTACTTCAGTGCTAAAGACTAGACATGACGTTGGCCACTGCTAAGTGACCAATGTGTCTATTATCATTTTAAAATATTAAAGATTCCCATTGTGAAAATTATCATTTTTCCTGACCTTGAATTTGGTTATCATTTCCCTTACTGGTCAATAAGCCTACTTTACATCAAACGGCTTGAGTGTTTACAACTTATTGTTTTTCCCTAAGTATTTATTCATAGCAGAGCAGTAACTTAGTGCCTAAAACACTGCTTTCAACAATTAGGTCGCAGATTTGAGTTCACCTATTGTCACGCAAACGGTATAATGGCCCAAAGCTGAGTAAATAAATCTGCTTGGTAAATAAGTTATATTACATTATCCATAAATAATTCTATCCATTATGTTGTTCAGCTGGTCATTTGTGAACTTTCCTCAATGGTTGAAGGTACACAGGTATAGAAAACACTAGTAAAGTGGATATCCATTTTCTTCACTTATCACTACGCATTTGAAGCTCACATTGGTAGTCATTTTCAGTTAACCATACTTTCGAATTCCGTTTTTGCTTTCTGCACTAAATTGCATAGTTCGTTGAAATCAGTCTTAATGATTTATTAGCTGGAGCACCAGTCAGTATAAAAGAAAATCTTACCATTACCTTAGTGTACAGTTATGTAATTTTATAAATGCTTTTCAGCTTAAAAATAAGTATAAGAATCAAATGAAATTAAAACATAGTGAAGGTATTCATACTAGTGGCGGGTTTGTGGAAATTATCGAATGTTAAGTAAACCAAAAACCGATCTAAGTTGAATAACTATTGTAAACCTGAAAGGACTGAACTGAATAACTTGGATAATGATTCAGACTTAACTGACATTCAAGGTAGAAGGGTTGTAGCGCACAAAATGTAATAATTTTTATACTATTCTGTCCCCGTATCCATCCACATGAATTCTAAATCCGATTGAACCACACTGGATTGCTTTATTAAGGTGATACCTCACCAATAGACCCGCGAATGGAATGAAGTTAGACATTTACACCGATGGGTGCTGACTCAATGATCGAAAGGTTAAGCATTCGCACTTGAAACTGAAGGTTCCGGGTTCGATTGGCGCCTGGGGGATCGTGAGTGCGTGCTTCCGAGGAGTCTTATACTAGGACGAAACATCCGTCCAGTGTTTCCGTGTTTTCAATGGTGGTCTAACTCAGAACGATCCATAATTTTAAGATATTTTGGCTACATACAAAATTATTCTAAATCTTATGTTTAAAGACAAATCCCAAATATTGATTTAGTTGGAAAAAGGCAAACTGGAAAATCTGAATAAATCTTTTGCGTTTACTTTGAGGTTTGCGAGTCCTAGGCTCAATTTCCAATGGGATTCTGGATATCTTTTGTTGACAAGATCGACCATTGAACGAAACACACCTATCCTATTTCCCTAACTTACGCTGGTCCTCTGAATGATATAAGTCGGTGATTACTATTTTCCTTTTGTGAAGTAACATTCAAGTTTGCTAATCAAAAGTCCGAAAAAATTACTTAGTTTCGTATTTATTTTCATATCACCTTGTAATAGTTGACAGTTCTATTGGTTTTCTAGGACGTGATGTAGAAACGTGTTTACTGGCAGCTCAATCTATCTGGAATTTAAATTTACACTATGAATTAGACTATTTCTGTCCATCATTAAAGTTTAACCTAAAAGTAAGTCGAACATTGTTAGCTCTAATTATTATGATTTTTAATTCATTATTAACTAATGTATAATAGTCATTTTCAAGATTGTTAGGTCCCGATAAACATAATGAATGGTAACTTTGGGATCCTTTTATGGACCAATACTAAAAGTATATTTTTATTGTTAAGTAACTAAACTATTCATATTGCAGAGGCTGAGACTGGTGTTCTGGACTTAACTGGCTGGGCTAGGAGGAAAGCAGGACCAATCAGGGCTCTAGGCTTCTCGAAAGTGTTTTACGCGTCCTTGGTCCGATCGATAATTCGCTGCTTCTGATTGGCGGCTTTGGGCTATAACAAAGACGAACTACTGAGAAGTAGAATGTATCAAACAACCGTTTCAGTGTAGATTCTGAATGAATTCCTTCACGTTCTTACAGAATAAATAGCTTTATACATTTTAAATATTTTGGTATTTAAATCAATTTAAATAAAACTGACGGCCCAATTGATACTTGGATCTTTCAGTTAAACGTAGCTTTATCTTATAAACCAAAGTAACACTGACACTGAATCAATGACAACTTCCATTTTTATCAGCCAACCTCTAAATAGTGCTATGTCAAACTACCTCGGGGTGGACATCACTTATATAGTTGACTAATTGCCTCTCTAGTTGTTCCTGGTATATATTCTTGACTTTTCATCAAGCTGAACTTGAAGTGGTTTTCTTACTGTGGTTTTTTCGCGTTCAGTAAGACGCAGACAAATACGTGCTAGAACCAAACCATGATCCGAGTCTAAACATAGGCTCCAGAATGAGCGAGTCTTTTTTCGAGCTTTTCCATTGATGGCTGATGCAATGTGACCTATTTGGGCCCATCATTGAGTCGATTTCGAGGTCACCATGTCAGATAATGTTTTCCTTATGCTTAAAGTTAGTGCTTGCTAGAGAGAAACGGTTATCTGAGCATAGCTGCAGCAGGTGATCACCATAATCTGTTCTTCGAGCCGCAATACTATACGATCCACCTGAGTGGCTTTTGTTTTGGTTTATAAATTTAACGCATCGCAGGTAGCAGCTCATTTTAAATGATTCAAGCTTCAGTAATGGATGGTACACGATCAGGGTGACTGGTTAGCTTTGTTTTTCGAAACATCAAACATGTGGAGTCTCTTTTGTTTTACAGCAGTCGACTGATTAGTGATGAACTCAATTTAGATGGACCATTTGTGCATATAATTCTAGAATAACGTTAGAAGACGAAGCCAGTCTCATATTTTTGAGTTCAAGAAATATTTGTAATAACGGAAACGGAGATGGGGCAGCTGTATCGTTACGAATAGGAAAGAGGAGTAAATTCCCGTAAAATGAAGTTTATACAAACGTTCGCGTGTTTGCTTGACAGAGTACGTATTCAGCTTATTGAAAATGTAAGTTCATTCAGATTATATATATGGCTAACATAGAAAAACAATCGAAGCATTAAATTAAATTACAAATAAAACATTGATGAAAGGACAACAAAATAAATGCATTGACATTATCCTTTACAATGAGAAAAAGTCATGATTTATTCAACTGGAATATATAAACTTCATTCTACTTTGTGTGTGTCGTTTTCTGTTTTATTAGTGTTGCTGCTATTATTATTATTATTATCATTATTATTATTATTATTATTATTATTATTATTATTATTATTAAAAGTGTTCATTTTCTGCAATTCCTCCTGTAGGAGAACAATACGTCTTCTTATATCATTCTTAAGATATTCATTATTTTCCGTCACCTCTTCATTCTTTTGAATAAGCTTAAACGGAAAATTAATAGATAGGAGAAAAACAAATATACGAACAGTAGTAAAGGCGCAAAGGAACAGTAATCAGTGTTTTTTTCGAAGTTTTCAAAGCCGGCAAAGAATTGTTACAGTCTAACCGGTAGGGAATTAAATGCAAATTAACCATACACAATTCCATGTAGTATAGCATTATGTATTATACCTTAGTATGTGTAAAAGCTAGTAATGTCACCTACTCAAATTGAAGTAGCGTTTCAAGCTTGTGACTTATTGATTGGAAATTAGATGTCTTGACCATTATTTGGTCGTTTCACAGGTGATTTTTCCCATAGTAGCAGTTAAGGTAAATACACAAACAAGTAAAAAGATGCAGTTAACGTACTTTTAAAATGCAACACAACCACCTGTATCATTACATCACATCTCTGTTCTGGTAGAATATCAACATTTGTACCGAAAATTCGTTTGGGATGCTTACAGAATGATTTAGTATAATGAAAACAATTTTAAAAAATAAACGTTTATTCAAATTTAAACTTGTTGTATCGAATACTATGTATATTCATGCGGTAATAACAGTTGGACTATCAGTGTAATCTTTGTATAGACTTAATGATGAGCAATAAGCTTAAAATATATGTCATACATATCATGTATTTTCATTGCTGATGATTTGTATCTGATTCTTAACAAATAAACCCAACATGTGTCTACAACAAACTACTGTAATTGTTTTCATTACGAGGTATAATCCAACTTGGACTTCATTAGAATGGTCGTTTTGGATTTACGAAGCAAAGTAATAATCTTTTGTTCCAAAGCTTTGGATCAGCACCTTAGTAACTTTATACTCATTACTTCAGTTATACGCTAAAATATCATTGTTAAGTAGCAACGAGAATCCTATCACGTGATATACTTTGTCACCAACAAGCAAATAAATATCTTATTTTTACTGCAAGTGGAAAAACTTGAAAAAATTCAAGTGAACTTTTTATACTCCCATAACTTAAGTAATCAGGAGGACAAAAATAGTCAAGTATCTTTTGAATCATGGAGTACTTCGGAGTGAAAAGTAATAATATGGATAACATTGTTGTTGGGGTAACTACTATAGCAGACTTCCTCCAAAGCTATTTCTATAGTTATCAATTGTGAAATTGAAGAGGATGACGGAACTGTGTAATCCTAACTCCAACAAATAGGGGTGATCGCATCTCCTCACTTTCCTAGTGTTTTGTAGTAAATCATTTACCAAGTGAAGGTTTATTTACTCCGCTTTAAGCTGTACTGTTTGTGTGAAAACCAATTATACTACCCGAACGGCGAAACTTAAGTAGGTAAAGTGGGACGTGAACCTGAGACTTAATAGCTGAAACACAAGGTTTACAGAACCTTTAGGCATTGTAAATACTCAGTACTGAAAGTTTCACATGTTAACTAAATGGGATGGACTCGTAAATAATAAACTCTCAACTTGTACAAAGGTATGGAATAATGAATAATTATTGATAAACCTGGTTAACGATAACTCACTTGAATCCGTATAATAAACCTGCATGTTAGCATCAAACATAAAACAATGAGATTGGAAGCTTCTTTTAGTCCATCTGCTACGCGCCATATACTAAAGAGATGGAATAGCATAAGACTAAGCAGTATAACATTGCTAACATCCTGTGCAGTCCCAGAACAAGCTGCAAGTACAATACCACCGACAACTTCAGTCGTTCCATAAACTCGTCTAATTACATGAGGATTCGGATTCCAACCAGTAAACGAACTAAACGGAAACGTCTTGAACATCCTAATGAAGTTTTTTCTCTGTTAAACAGACTAAAGTTTTTTCTTGAAAACAATTTACCACACTGCGATAAAGCTCATCAGAAAATAATGGACCAAGCTTTAACGTCCCAAAGAATACGAAAAATACTCCTACGGCCACAGAAATCGCAGTTAAAGCAGTACTGGACATTTTGCACGACAATAACGAATGCACTAAATTCTGAATAAGTAGTAAATCTGGAATTTAGAGAAGAAACGTTTATCAGACTTGTGATTTTGATTGAGACTACGACTAACTTTTTAAACAGAAATGATTTCATGCACTAAATTCCCTTTATTAAATTGAAAAGAGAGCAATGATTTGAGCAGAATAACACGAATGTGTTTTATCTAATTTGATTCTTATCAGCTGCTCACACCATTTTCTTTTAGTTCACAATCTTACTTTCAAACGACTGACCTTGACTCGTTTAATCCTTAACTGTCGTTGACCTGTATTTTATTACTTGACTACATATCCACCCAGTTTCAGCTCTAAATCTTTTTTAGTGCCCAGACTGACGTCCTAGGACCTTCTTTTACACTTTTTATTTTCAATATTTTTTATTCAGATCTTAGCTACACGACACTAAAGTTTCCTCGACCATTGTTGTTACCTTAACGTGGTAGTTGGGCTTGCCTATCGTGGTCAACCAATCGAGCTATACTGGCTGGAACAATCGTTCCTCAAGGCCCTACCATATCAGACAGGTCGACTGAAGAGCGGTAAGACTAAAAGCAACAAACTCAAGGTCCGAAGGCGAAGTCGTACTGCTGACTGTACAGAGGTGTGACAACAGTAAGGCGTTTCCTTCAGACAACCAGTATAACAGTGATGCTGCCTTCCCACAAGGAGAGGTGGGGTTAGAAAAGGTCGACCCTAAAAATCCACACTTCGCCTTATCTCACGGATATCCGTCTCCGTAAGTAAGGTCTCAACAAGTACGGAGCTAACACGAAAATTACCCACAAAGAGGTCGTGAGTGACCGAACTCAGGCAGTTGTCCCTTGGGCGTTGTGGTCACACTCTCAGGTCACTAAGACCACCCCTGATCCAAATTCCTTTTCAGGTACCTTCAGAAGAGTTTCAGTGTGGGCATCAGGGAAGTGATAATCGCCCTCATACTTCTAACAGCACTCAAGACCACTGTATTCATAATCAATTTTTCTCTTCAATTTTTTATTATATTTACACCAAATTTTCATCAGCTTCACTTCTAGAAAATATATTAACTTATTTGAAAACTAGTTTCCAAGATGATTTAGCTTAACGAAATAAAACTAATTTATGTCCATTTGCTAGAACTGTTTTTTTTTCTTCAAGGAAAAATTCCAACATCAGGGAAAATCGCTTGACAAGGAACTCTACTAAAAATGAAACTAAGAATGTCTGGATTTACAAGAGATAGTTCTGTTTCCTTCACCGACATATTGGGTGTTATTTGCTGCTGCAAAACATTTGCAAACGTTTTGCTGACCGTATTACAAATTGTTATCAAAAGGCAGGAAAACCACAGTAGTGTCTATTACGACTCACTTCCCAATTCATGAGTGAAGCAGTGACTTATTCTTTAGAGCACTTGACTAGTGACTATTAGTCCCCAGGTGTGAATACAACTCCGCTTTTTGTGTGGGCAGCTGAGTGGTCAATGAGTTACGCGCAACGTAGAGCCTAGTATGCGTGTGTACATTGGTCCAATTAGTCATACTCCTGATCACAATGAGATGTAACTTTTTAGGGTTAATTTCAGAATAGTACAGGTAGTAACAGTAGTGGTAATAAAAAATATTAGGCACCAGAGATACCACTCAATAAGATAAAAACTAGTGAAATTTTAAAAATTATAAGAAAATGAGAAGCTTAGAATCTAGGGGGAGGCAATGGATGGATGCACCTGCGCCATCCCAAACGATTTTGACCCAACCATTCAAAGTCTCTAACGATAATCACGACGGCCCTAACCAGGTAGTCTACACCTGTTGACACGGCTCAATCTAATTGTCAGTGACTTCGCAGACTGGTCCCACGTCTTAATTTGACCCCCCACCTAGCTTTCTTTTACCCTACTCCTACACTACACAACGCCGCCCATCGAAGTAGGTGGTGGTTGAGTATTCGTAACACATATCTCAACAACCTCAGTTGATGGCGATCTATTGTCTCATCAATCGGCTTGCAGTATTTACCCAGTGAACTACCTCTAACTCGGTAGTTCAAAATACACGAGCGGTACCTCGAAGACATTTATGATCAAATACTAATAACCTAAGAATATCCTGTTCCATATCCAAGAAGTAAGATGGAACGAACTGCTGAACAGCAACCTTGTCGTTAAGTTGGTAGACGAATATCTCGCCTACGTCATAAGTGACGCGTGCTGGCGAAAGCCAGTCGAGTTTTTAGCATTCATGCGGAGATTTCGTTAAACACTAGAATTGATGAAACTCTCAAGATGATTGAAGAGAGTGGATAACAGTCCTATCTTCTTCTGAGATAGACTCATTAACAGCTTGGTTTCAAATAACCCTTCCCTTTCGTCTTAGAACTCAGACATCCCAAGTTAGCCCTTTTAAATAGCGATCAGATTGAAACATTTTTTTAACTCTTAGTACTTGAAAACATGTTGTCCAACAACGAATAAGAAATCTGAACTAAAAACAAGCGTCAAACGAACGATGAAAACAACTTTGCTGGTTTACGCTTTATTTGCATTGGCAACTAGATTTCATGACAACAATAAGCGTAACTCAGTAGCTCATGTAAGTAATGTTTGTGGCTATCATAAATTCCTTTTAGACAGTGGGAACAATCAGTATAAACGTACTAAAGTTATTATTTTAGCAATCCTTAATGAACTACATATGGTAAAGAACAGGTAAAAGAACCTTTTGACTTCTCCAAATTCCAAATAATTAAACCAGGGACGAATTCTACTTCCTTGAAAGTCGTGTTTACGGCTTTCGGTTGCGTTGTCATTTCCTGCCTGTTAAGTGATGGGAGCTTATTTTAGTTGTTTTAGGACTAGAGTCGTTTGATTTGAGCAAATTACTCGTAATAACATCTGATGAGATCAAACTTTCCAACCACGCTAGGGTCATGTGTAGTCTTATTTTGGGGGCTTCGCGGAGTATTCTGTGACTCGGAATGGAAATCTAACGGAGAGTTATCAACCAAACGGACACTGTTTGTGGCTATTTTACTTTCTTTTCTTTATTTCCCCACTGCCGCCCATTTTCCCTCAGTCGTGACAACCAACTCGGAACTACTTAGGACGATGACGGTTTTATATGGATCTACAGATACCACCTTAAAACCGTAACCACAAATAAACAGTGAAAATTTCACACCTTACTTGTTTTGAAATATATTTGCCTTTTGCATGTTTCGCAGTCGGGTATTTTGCTCTTTCCGTAACACCACTTACTACAAACTGAGTCTTCATTGTCAGTACTCATGTCTCCACTCCAGCCCCGATCAACATTCTTGCTGACCAACGTGGGAAGGCTAATTGCCTCTTGAATCGGTAATGTCATAATCGAACAGCAAAATATACAAAGTCGATGGGAGTTAGACATCGAATATCTTTTGTATGCAGTGAGATTTAAACGGGCACACATAATGTGGAACCTATCTTCTGAAGTCATCACGATGCATTTCTTCTTCCGTATGAGAATAGAAGCAACTATTGCGAAAGAATTTAAAGGGGAAAGTTGACAAAATACACGAGATAATCACTAGTGTGATAATCAACTAGGAAAGTGCCACAAAACAGATTTGGAGAAAATTCCAAACCTTGGCCGGAATAATCTAAGTTATACTGAATCAAGTATGCTTTTGATGCGATAAATACTTAAAAGCAAAGTTATAACTTTGTTGTAAACTAAAGTTCACAACAAGTGTGAAATTACTGACCTTTCTTAAATGAGCGCCTAGCTAGCGCATATAATGCACTTACATTTATCACGGAAAGCAACTGACAACAATTAGCAATAACACTAGCTTCAGATTAAGATAACCTTGGGATCAAAAGTAGAATTAAATAGTTCAGCCGCTTCCAAAACCAGCGGGTAATCTTACAATTCAAGTGTTCCGCGTCAGAATCAGGGACACTGTAAAAAGTAGTTTCTGACGTTTATGCGCACGTGGAACGTGTGAACGTGTGCGTTTTTGGATAGATATTTCTTATCTCAACACCGCAATTCGTCTATTTTGTTTATTTCCTCGCGTTTTAAACAGTTTTAACTCATACTCTGTGGCAAATAACAATAGACTACCTTACGGTTTATGCTCCATCTGTAAGATTGCCCGATATAAGAAGTTCATAATGTTGATATATGTCTTTTTTCCATAGGGCTTCTTGTTTAATGATAAGTATGTTAAACTTAGTTCCTCGCTTTCTTAAAACCAAGATTCATAAAATGGCCGATTGCTTTTCAGATCATTCATATCTGGCTTAAGAACTTTCGTATGGCATCACTGATGGATCATTTTGTCTAAAATATAATTCGTATGAGATTAACTCGGCAAAATACGACTTCGAAACTTTCTCAAATTCCTGTAGTATGAACAAAACTTACACAGAAACTGCCGTCTACGTAATTTGTAGCTAGATTAACACATTCTGTTTTTGGACAAGTGCAATGTGGTGCGTTTTGTGTAGTGAGATGCCCGATAAGAAAATTATGAACTTTAAGGGGTGAAATTCAAACCCCGTTTGGAATAATTCTTTGACATATTTTTGGCTCACAAAATGAACAAAATTCTTCAAGCATTGTCAGTTGTTATATAACAACGTGCTCAGTGGGTATGACACAACAAGTACTGATGTACAGACAGAAGACATGTCGATAAACTTAGTATCCTACATATACGTAAATATCATGTGTCTGCGCAATTATCTACATGTTCTAGACACTACAGTTCAAATGCCTCTCCGTGTGTGAACTGCTGATCAAAACGACAAACATTTGGAGTGCCGTAGCTTTTCCTACATCATTACGGCGATCCGGTGTACAGCTATCAAAGAAATCCGTCTGTATTTATACGAAGGACTCGTAACGTCAATTGCCTGATTATGTTCTTGTGACCTGCTCGAATCCGTCCAATTTATCAACTGTTTTCATAATAAATGTCGGTGTGTCAGATCAAAA